CCCCGACCCCGACACGCACCCATGGGGGGCAGCGGGGGCAGAGCCGCCTGCGGTGAGGCTGGTCCCCCCGCGCCCCAGCCCTCTGCTCGGAAAACTGCTCCCCCCTCCTGCCTTTGATCAGAGGATGGGTTTCTCTGCCGCCGCTCTCCGTGCTGTGGGTTTCCAGCGGGAGGTGGGGAAGCGCAGTCAGCCTGACCCTCCCCTCCTCGGATCTGTCATCAGCAACAGAAAAATCCTTCCCGTCCCCAAGTTACTCAGCCTGAATCCTGCAGGATTTGCCGGGGCAGCAGGATGGCAGAGCAGCCCTGCCCGGCGCCCGCCGCCAGCCCACCCTGGCAGGGCACAGCCCCCCGCCCGGCTCCCCCACCCGGCCCCACACCCCCGGGGCCACAAACCCACCCCAGGGACAAGTGGAGCAAAAAAATGGATTTCCTGCTCTCGGTCATCGGATTCGCCGTCGATCTGGGCAACGTCTGGCGGTTCCCTTACATCTGCTACCAAAACGGAGGGGGTAAGGACACTGCTGGCATTATTTAAGTCTTCTTTTGCAGGAAAGAAATCTGTTTTCCATCTTTCCCATTCCAAGAAACTCGCTCTTTCTCTTCTCTCTTTGTCTCTAGCTGCTCCTCTCTGGACAGGGCAGTTTAGAGACCGACCCGACTTCTCCTGACCTCTGTCTCTTTTCTGTTTTGTGTCTTTCTCCATTCCAAATCCCCCATTCACTCCTTCCCCGGCACGGTTAGAGGTGCCTTAGCAGCTCTAGGATCACAAAGAGAAAACTAGCGTGGTCCAGACTGCATAAAAGGATTAAGAATCTGCAGATCTGGGGTGGGGAGGTTCGTACCCTGTATGATATCGTGACTCCGGGGAAGCATCTTTCCTGGTGGTTCCACACAACCCTCGCAAGCATCCCAGCCGCCGACACGGCTCGGGGCGTTCAGTCCTGCGAGCGATCAACAGAAAGTTAAGATACAAAAGCTCCACGAAGCAAAAAAAAAAACCTCGAGTAAGTGACAACGAAATAAATTGCTTTAAATAGAGCGGAGTAGGAAAAAAAAAAAAAACAAACCAAAAACCTTGCATGGAAATTAAAAATGAGGAATGAAAATTTTGTGCTGTTTGCAAAAGCACAGTGGATTTAATTGCCAAAGTCGGCGTTCGGGTAACGTCCTCTGCTGCTTTGGAAAATTAGAAGGAGATAATTAGTACCATACTCAAGGCTAAAACGTGGATCCCAGGTGCCCACACTGAAGCACAGCTATTTGTGATTTACTCCTGCGGGACTCGGAGAAAACTTCAGCCACTCTTCTTTGATGTGGCTCGGGCAGACGCTTTCCTCCCCCTGCCCAGGAGGGTGAGGGCTTCCACCAGCAGCTCGCGGCAGGGTCAGGACGGGCCCCGCAGAGCGGGAGCGCTGGGCCAGGCCGGGGCTGGGAGACGTCCCGAGAGGAGAACCCTGGAGGGCTGTTGGCAGGAACACGGGGCCAGCAGCCCTGCCAGGCAATCGGGGGGGTGCGGGAGGGTGCTGGGGGCGCTGCCCCACCCGCCTCCCCCAGCGCTTGGAGGGCTCTGAGAGAGAGGAGCTGTGGGGGTTAAATTAATCCCAGCAGAGCGGTTCTGAGGAGCCGGTTCCCAAACCTCCATGGGGCACCAGCGTAGCCCTGCTAAAGAGGACATGGTCGTGAATAATGCAGATTACAGCGCTAATTCTTTGTGTCCTGGGGTGACCGTGCACATTCAGTGGGACTTTCTCCAAAACTCCTCTAGACCTGAGGTGTTGGTGCCCCATCCCCTGCACCCCGATGGCTTCTGGGGCTCTTTGTACCCTCCTGACCACACGATCCCCCGCCGGCGCAGGGAGCCCGGGAACCTGGGGCACCGAGCGGGGTCCTCACCCCCAGGACCCGCTCTGAGCAGATCTCTTGCAAAACACCTTTACAAACGCGCATCCGAAGCTGCTCCGGGTCCGTCCCAGCAGCGCGGGGAGGGAGGGTGGTGGCAGCCCCCCCCTGCTCGCCCGCAGCCTGCCTGGGCTCGGTGGTCAGCGCCGCTCTGCTGCTCGCCCGCAGGAGCCTTCCTCATCCCGTACACGCTGATGGCTGTTTTCGGAGGGGTGCCCCTCTTCTACATGGAGCTGGCCCTGGGGCAGTTCCACCGGACGGGCGCCATCCCCATCTGGAAGCGCATCTGCCCCATCTTCAAAGGTAAGAGACCCCCAGCGCACGCGGGGCCTGGGCTGGACCAGCGGGGGCTGCTGAGTTTGCCCCCCTCTTTCCCCAGGCATCGGCTTTGCCATTTGCATCATCGGCCTCTACGTCTCCTTCTACTACAACACCATCATCGCCTGGGCTCTCTACTACTTCTACTCGTCCTTCTCGGGCACCCTGCCCTGGGCGAGCTGTGACAACCCCTGGAACACGCCCGACTGCACCAACTACTTCGGGAGGAGCAACGTGACCTGGACCAACTTCTCCAGGTCCCCTGCTGAGGAGTTTTACACGTAAGCGCACGCACGTCCGTGGATGGATGATGTGTTTAAGCCGGGACACATCCCCGGGGGGGTCTGCCGCAGGGGGAGCGGGGCCGAGGAGCAGGTTCTCACGTGGGGAGGCTCTTGGGGAGCTCGTGGTCCCCATTCCCAGAGTGTTGGGGCGCTGCGTGCCCAGGGCTGAGCCTCCCAGGGCAGAGCTGAGACACCCTCCCCGGCCGTGGGGATCCCTGCCCGCAGGAGGAAGGTCCTGGAGATCCAGAAATCCGGGGGTCTGTACGATGTGGGGGGGATTCACTGGCAGCTGCTCCTCTGCCTCTTCCTCATCTTCACCATCGTCTACTTCAGCCTGTGGAAAGGGGTGAAAACCTCTGGGAAGGTAAGAAAGAGGGGCTCTGTCTCCAGCCATGCCGGAGCCCAGGGCATGTGGGGGCTTGCAGCCGGGCACGCAGCGTCCCCACCGTGGCCAGGGCCAGGCAGGAGGGCCCGAGCCCTGGTGAAGCTGCTTAAACACGGGGTGTTGCCTCCTCCCTGCACCCCAGCACCAGGCCAGGCCCGAGGCAGGCGGTTTGGGTGCTGGGAGGAGCAGCTGTGGGGGTCTGAGGGCCGCCTCTCTCCAGGTGGTGTGGGTGACGGCCACGCTGCCCTACGTCGTCCTCCTCATCCTGCTGGTCCGGGGGGCCACCCTGCCCGGCGCCTGGAGGGGGGTCGTCTTCTACCTGCGCCCAGACTGGGGCAAGCTCCTGAGCACCGCGGTGAGTGCGCGGCGGGACCCCCGGCAGCACCCAGAGCCCTCCCCAGCACACACCCCCCCACACCCCTCCGGCCCCGCCGCGGCACCGCAGGGCGACGGGCCCCTTGTTCCTACAGAAACAAGACACCCTGGACAGGCTCTTGGAAATGTAAATCTATAATTGAATCACCCATCTCATCGCCGCTGGGTTTTGTTTGAGCCGTGTTCTCGCCCTGGCCTGACAATAGCCTTCCTGTGGGTAATTACCAGGCAGCACTTGAGAATTCTCATTAAAGGGAATCAGGGCTGCACTGCTGCAACCAACCTGCCCGAGTAGGAGGGGGCATGGGGGTCCTGGGGCTCCCCTTGACTTTGTCCCTGCTCCAGGCACGGGGGAACACAGATGGCGTTGCTTAATTCTGCTGCTGCAGGACCCCGGGGTGGAAACGAGCTCCCTCTGTCCCGTGGCAGCGCCGGGACATCTCACGGGGTCGGGGCAGGCAAAAGAGGAGGTTTGGCAGCGTGTGCCAACGCCGAGCCCATCCCTGTGCCATGGGGTGGGCACACGCCAAGCGGCACCTCCCAGCCCCGGGGATCCCCTGCCCGTTCTCCAGCCTGCCTGTCGCTTCCCCTGCCAGGTTTGGGTAGATGCTGCTGCGCAGATTTTCTTCTCCTTGGGCCCTGGATTCGGTGTCCTCCTCGCTCTGGCCAGTTACAACCATTTCCACAACAACTGCTACCGGTGAGCTCCCGCAGCCGTGGGTCCCTGCGGGCAGGGGGCTGCGCCGGCTCCTGCTGCGGAGCCACATCCCGCTGGCTCCTGCGCCGCGGGCTGAGCATCCTTCCCCGTTTTACTGAGGGGTTTGGTGTGCGGAGCCAGGGGAGGGAAGTGGCGGGAGTACAGGCGACCAGGGCAGCCAGGCCGGGGCGAGGGCTGAACCGTAGGGGGGTTCTGTGCCAGGACACGTCTTCTTGGCCGTAACAAGCGCCAGGCCCCGAGGGAATGGCCTCAAGCTGCCCAGGGCAGGGTCAGGCTGGCTCTGAGGAAGGATTTCTGTGCAGAAGGGGCTGTTGGGCGTTGGAATGGGCTGCCCAGGGCAGGGGGGAGTCCCCGGGATCCCTGGAGGGGTTGGAGAGTCGGGCTGAGCCAGCGCTGAGGGATCTGGGGGAGTTGGGAACGGTCAGGGGGAGGGTCATGGTGGGGCTGGAGGAGCTGCAGGGGCTTTTCCAACCCGGATGATTCTGGGATTCT